TAGATTCAGCTTTAGACACCTGTCTGTCCTGGAGTGCTCTGCCAGCTGTAGCTGTTTGTTTGTTTGTCTTTGGCTCATACTGGAAAAATATCTGGGCTTTGGGGTTGTTATGAAAGCTTCCCAGATCTCATCATTATTGTTCCACTCAGACTACCCTGAAGGGAGGAAGCAGCCAAATGCGACCACTTTGATGGAGTGGCTCACACCTGCATGATTACGCAAGAAGAAGGGGAACATGGGAGAATGGAAATGATGAAATGATGAGCAGCAACAAGGCCAGCGAGGCTCCAGGTGTCTTGTTAACACTTCTGCCTTATTGACGGGTGGCATGAGGCCTATGTTGAATTCATCACAGACATAACCCAGTGACCTATTCCACTAAAAAGCTAGACTCATACCAGTTGGCATGGCAACCTCCTGATGCTGTGTGGACAAGACATTAGCATCTTACAATCTAACAGTGAGTGTACTGTTAGCTGGACATCCAACAGTAAGTTTTGAGTGTACTATGTATAGCTCATATAACTCCCATAGCTGATCTTCTGCCATTAGCCATCAGTGCATTATTAGCTTATATTTTTGCATTAATTTGTCACTTATTTATTCTTTATTAGTTTTTTTTTTTAGCTGGAATGCTCTAATATGATTTTTTTTCTTTTCTTCTTTTACTATCTCTCTCCCTTTTGTGGAGAAATGGCAAACAAAGCCCCAGGTGCTTTCATGATGACTGTGTGCAGTATGTCCATGCAGTGTAAAGCAGTGTGAATATGGTTATGTCTATAAGGTCTGGCAGAGATCCTGTGACTGTACACATCATGATCTCTTGATATCCCTGTTAGAATGAGTAAGCAGCTGTAAGTGTCACTGTTCATATCTTACAGCCTGGCATCGTGTCTCATACGCATTTAAAAGGGCTGAGACAAAAGCAGGATAAAGGGGAGAAGAATAGAAGAGAGATTTGAAAAGAAGCATGTAAATAAATGTGACAGAGCGGGGAGTTTAAGAGGACACAGGATGAGTGGGAGTAGGTGACAGCATCAAACAGCCAGCCAGCAGTCAGATCTGAGTAGCAGTCACAAGTGACTTATAGGTATGTAATTGTCATAGACATATCAATTTACCAGTAAGAAGTAAAGTCTGCCCTCTGATACTTGCTCTTGTCTCTCAGTTGACCTCCCGAGACAACAAGCCCATCCTTGCTTTATATTTCTACGCCACTAGAGGGATAGAAGGTATAGTTACCAATGGCTGTGATTTTGCATACAACACATATGATCAACTTTTAAAATATGATCCATTATTATAGATATATATATAATATATATATAATACTTTCCACACAGGTGTTTTGAAACACACACTCTGAAAGGGGCCATTTTCCATAATGAGTTTGACACTTTTACTCAAGTTGTATATGCTATATATGTTTATACATATTTATACATTGTGACATTGCTTCTTTTCACTGATTATATCAGCATTCATCAGCATACTTGCAGCCAGAAATAGGCTCTCGAAAGCTATTTTGAGACAAGTGTCAGTATTTCAGACTGTTCACAATCTGTGAATTGCCCACAAGGGGGTGCAAGAGTGGAGCAAAAGATAAAGATCCCAGCAGAGGTGCTGTATGAGGCATTCGCTTTAATCAACAGTTCTTAATGAATTGATTTTAACGTGATGAATCATTATGAACCCAGTTAAGCGGCTGTTTTGATTAAGGACTTTTAAATAAAGCTCTAGCTTCACAGTGTTAGTCATACTGTGTGAAGTATATACTGTACGTGACCCTTTCACAATGAAACACTAATGAGGATTCGAGTAATAACGCCCCCACAGCTGTAACTGTACAGGATCTATGGTGATTCATACCAGAATTTTCTGCTGCCTTCATAACTGAAGGACAGCAGCCTCATTTGAAGCACTGAATAAGAACTGACCAAAAAGAAATCATAAAGAGTGGTAAGATGATGTATAGATGTGTCATAATCTTAGCTGAGGGATTTGCGTTACTGTGTTTACCTGGACAGTGTTTGTCAGTAAAAGTCACTGGGTCAGATAATTGAGTAAAAAGAGACAGATGGTGGCAGCATTTACTGCTGATTACATGGAGGTCATAAACTGCCTTTCAGTAGCTGGGGGGTGTCAGGTCCAAGGCTATTAAACTGCCAGAGCCTGAATCTTAGAGGGATTGCACAGGCAGGAGAGTGGAGGGGTTTAAACAGTGGGCCAAGACTATAGACTCCAAAATCCAGAGTACAGCCACACAATATGTATATCTGAACAAGGATCCTTGGTGCATGTATTGTTTTTTTGCAACTTTTACGCATGCAGTCCTGCAGCATCTCTATGGTGCCGTATTTCGAGTACTTGATCTTCTTCTCACATCATTGGAGTTGGCATACTGTAGCGAGGGACATAGCTGCTGTCACTCACACAGAGGAAAATATTCCATACCAGAGGCCTCTAGGCTATAGCAAAATTGCATAGAGTGGCTGTATGTGCACAATGCAGGAAATATAAATAGTATATGCTGATGTAGGGCCATGCGCAGTGTTGTGAAATGACATGAGGACACAAGAGAAGCAATGTTCCTCTGCAAACCTGCTGGACAATGCAAAATGCATTATTCTAACAAATGGTTTATAAAATCATCTAAGATTTATGACCAAATGTTAAACATCCACATAGATTCTGCAAAACTGGAGCTATGGAGATTTTCAGAATAAGACAAAAGGAAAAATTTATTTTAACCTGCTGATGAAGTTTTGTAGTTAAGTCATATCTAGTTCTGTACTTATACTATGATATTTACACCAGCTCAAGATGTACTCATGGTAGAACAGCGTAAATATAGAGCATTAGCACTAATTGAATATATTGAGGTTTACTGCATTGTAATAAACTGCTGATGTTAGATTTATGTCTGTGGATAAGTCACTGTTTAATTCGACTCTGCATTCTGTTGCAGAGGACCTGCTCACCATTCATTTACATTAGTCTGGTGTATTGGCTTCCTTGGGAACGGGTGCTGTGGACAATGTTTACTGATCATACTGATGTATTTGTCCACCAACTCCGCAAGACAGTCGATCAATATTCCAATTACAGGTAGATTTCCATTCTTGCACGGTAGATAGTGAACATCAGTCAATATCTTTGTCAAAATGCCAGTATGTGTACAAAAAGATGTATGTATGGAGCAACATGTGAGCAAATGAGCTACAGCTTTGTGGTGTCAGAATAGTCAATTCTCTAAACAGTAATGTTATATTAAAATGTTAGAAAACCAGACAACGGTTGGTAAAATGTAAATCTTCACCCATGTTGAACAGATCTCCAATCTATGATATGCAAAGTTGCAGCCACTGTAGAATATTTTGGGGACATAGTTAAAACACTGCATAAGATAAGATGAATTGTGACTCATCGTGATTAAAAATTGTTACCTACATTTTTATTGTGAAAGTCTTTGGCATGTGCTGTAGAGAGTGGACAGCTATGACATGTTTTTTTAACCTGTATGATTGTATGTACTGTAAACCTGTATGAATGCCAACATAATGCTAGAATTGTATTTTGTTCTACATAGTTTTACATTTAACATACTGAATAAATGTTGAATAAATGTAGTAAATGTTCCAGGAAATTGCCACCTGACTGAATTCCCAAACTACTAGGCTTTCCATCCATGAATAAAATTTACATTTGCAATTTCCAGAAAATTTAGACACAAGCTATGTGGTGCATTCATAGAAATCCTCAAAATAAACCCATGGTGGATTCCCTCTTACAAAAAAGTACCTGTTTCAAAATATAAATTGACTGTGGACAAGCTGTTTACTACAAGTAATGTGTTTATGTACTTACTTTTTTGTGTGTTTTCTTTACTTTCCTCCTGCATTTTGCTTTTTTACGTGTGCTATATTTGCAAAACAGTATAAAAACGTTGTATTTAAAAGAAGACTTCCAAGATCTTCACTAGTACCCTTGTACCTCAGATTACTTTCAAAGTAACTCACCTTACCTTCAAGTAGCAGGGCAACCAAGGGTCCTTTTCAGCTTTCTTCCCAACATAACCAGCACGATAATTCCTTACAATTCACATTGCTATATTGTCATAATATCAGATGCTGTACCATCCCTCATTATATGATTTACTCTTTTTCAGTTTGAAAGGGTGACAGTCCTGCTTGGGTGGGTTTTCTGTTGCATGGTTGTTGTCAAATGTTGTTAACTTGAAGACAGGAACATCAGCGTGCCCGCCTGCCCACGGCTGGGGGGTGCTTGTGGGGCCGCGTTGTGGTCGTGTGGTGTGTGTGTGGTGTGTTGTGTGGCTGTGTTGTTGGCACGTGTGGTGTGGTGTCTGCTGGGTGTGCTGTCTTCTGTGTGTGTGTCTGTTTCAGCTTGACTGGGGCTGTTAATGAGAAGATGGGAGCCCCAGTCTCTTTTCGAGAGGTGTAGGTTTTTTTTTGTGGGTGTCTTGTTGAGTGGGGGACAGGTTTTGTTGCGGTGGAGACAAGCGCAGGGCGCCGTCCAGGACGCTGCGCAGAATCGCACAGTCGCAAGAAGGCTTTGCTACTATTGTTCGGTGCATTCTAACGCCAGCGTATTCGGACTACCCGGTAAAAGGTTCCGGGCCCGAGAGAGTCACCGCTCTGCGTGTCTCCAGGTTCTTGCCTGCGTTGCAGGGGGATAGAAGTTAGCCCGCTGCACGAGCGGATAGTCACCACTCCCCACGGGCTTCCTAGATGCGTTAGTGCCGAAGAGAGGCAGCGGGCGTGGCACGGCGCCGCGGAGCTGCGTGACTCTGCCAGTTGCAGAGGGTTTAATGCGCGCTGGGAGCCCGCGGGGGGGGGGGTGGCGCAGCGAGGCGCAGAGAGAGAGCGGCGCACCGTGGTTCTTAGCGGCGTACGGTGCATCGGACACTTGAATGGATAGCTGACGCGCGCCGCGAGCGGCTTTGGTGGTCACCCCATTCAATTCTTCTCCAGCTAGCACACTGGGTGTCCAAATGGAGCGAAGGGTCGGGAGATGCTGCTCTCAAAGTCAGAAGCCATTGAGATCCTCTGGATTCCAAGCGAGTGCTGCTGTCGTGGTATCTTTTCGGTCATTCTCTCGTTGCGCGGGGGTTGGTGCTCGTCTGCGGGTTCTCTGCTGGCTCTCGTCCGCTCCGCCATCATGGCAGGATGGGCGCCTTACATTAATGTTTGGATTAGTTCTAGGCGGTATGTCCGAGTGACAGTGGCGCGAAAGTAACGTGGAATCCAGGCTACTAGCAGACGCTGGAGCACATCTCAAGGTAATAAGCGGCAGAAGGCCGCTCGTGTCTCTGTTTGTCGTCACAGTATGTACTTAGAGGCCAGAAGTCTTGTTGTCCTTGTAACCTGTTTGGGATTGAGCTTGTAGGCGAGAGCGGCACGTATCTTCTCACAATATATCCGTTTATTTCCAGAGTCTCAGTCCGAACATTAAATCCAAACGATTGGGTTGCTTACATAGCTTCGAGCTGCTTGATACTTCGATGTCACGAGAACCCTTGGGTGTGAATGATCATGCATATCATTCGTTGCTCACCGTCTTATGTTTCGAGCTATTTAGTTACGACAAATGGGCACCCTTAAGGTCATTCCTCTATTCTTTTAGTTAATAACAAGAGTGTGTCGCAAGTAGGTAAAGAAAGACGGGGTGAGCAGGTGTCTTGCTGGTTATGTGGACTCCTCAACGCTCAAGAACGCCCCACTTCGCCTCACACCTATTCATTTTGTCGATTTCTTATTTATCTATGCGCGTAGATATGTCTATCATTGTGGTGCAGCATGGCCTATCGTTCAATCTTCCTCACTTTTGCATCAATCGGTCTACATCTTATGATAATATATAGGTCCTGAAGATTAATAGCGTGTGCACGAGGTCAAGACATCACGTCTACAAGCTTGTGTATAGAGAAGAACTAACCATACTAATTGTCACATGCATATCGTAGTTCCACATAAAAAACAGGAAATCAGGTGACATTATGATAAATATAGGCGTTAGGAAATGATAGGTCAAAATTATATTATATTATTAGAAGATGAGTGAAGAGGAGCTAGATTACATCAGTTGTTAGTCACTAGATCAAAGAGGTTACACGTCTACCTACTTTTACGGATGTAGACTAAACTATAATTTACCATCATCAAGAATGCGATTGGCGACGAGTCGCGCGAGAGCGTGATCTTGCGTTTTTCGATCAGCAGCATTGGCGAATTCTCGCTGTTTTCAAGCGATTGGAGGAAGAACTCACCGTGATGTGCGGCAATAACCTCATCTGGTGGAAATGGCTTAATCAGTACAATGATCCGCATGAGATCATGAGGCATGGGTTAGTTAAGCGCCTGAGTCAACAGCACTTTCTCGCCATTGATCACATACTAGTGCCGATAATAACGCCTTATATCTATATCTGCACACTACCTTCTCTTATTTTCCGTCTTATATCCCTAACTATCTTTTCAGACATAGAAGTTTGACCTCTTCAGTGCACAGCCATAGATGAGAAGAGAGATGATACAGAATCGATTACTATGTGTGAGTCGGCCGAGCTAGGCTTATATCCTCTGCAGCACATCTCCTATGCTTCCCGGACTACCCACCTGCTCCTTGACTTACTGTGCTGCTAGACGATGACTGGTTAAGAGTGGAAACCACCTGTGGCTACTCGAACAGACTCCCTCACACCCAACCGAGTACGTGCCAACTGCTGCGCATGTTCGGATGGTTTATATGCTATGAAGCCACAGCAACCAACTTAGTCCGCGCTGATACGTCTGCTCATCTCGTTGATGAAGTACAGTTTTATGCATTGTGCGTATCTAAACCTCGTTGTGTAGCTTACAAGTTTGAGAGTAGGCAGAGAGAATGTGAGCGTATACGCCCTTCCTCGATGATGACGGCAGTGACCCTGTTACGGTGGCGTTGTGACAGACTTCTCGTCAGGGAAGGGAGGGCCCGTAGACAGACGTTGAAGCGGCTCCGTGCAGGGGAGTGTAACGGTTCAGCACCACTTAGCTAGCTGCCATCTCTAGCTGGGACTGGGGATGCTGAACGGGGGGAGGGAGGGCCTGTTTGAGCTGGGACAGCAGCTCCAGCAGCAGGGGGAGTACCAGGCCGCCCTCCACTGCTTCCTCAGCTGCCTGTTGGGACTGACCCATGTACAGAGCTTTACTTCTCTGCCCAACTGCCTACACCAGGTGAGCCAGATGCCTGAAGACTGGGTACACACACACACACAC